CAGTTCCTACTGCTGAAGTTGTTCCCAACATTTTCCTATTATAAATAGTGCACCGAAAATTAAACATCTTTATGTACATACATATATATACATATAACGTGTAACATTTCATTTCTTTGGCTAGTTTCAGAAATAAAATCAACAGATCTCAGAGTATGAACATTTTTATGAGTCTTGATCCAGATTATCAAACTATTCACAAACTGTAAGGATTTATAGTGCTATCGCAAATGTATGAGGATGGCAATTTAATTACATATTTGCAAGTAACATGCACTATCATGAAAGAATTGGAGGCAATAATTTATGAGCTCATAATCCTAAGAAGCAAGCTTGATAAATTATGTGCTAATTTGAAATTTATTTTTTTGTTTTTGCCAAGCACAGGAGTGGCTCTAAGATTTCAACTTTTGGGATATTTACTATACCCTCTGTATGGGGTCTGTGCTGGCCCTGGGAAGCACCAGGATGTTTTTCTTTGGTGTAAAGAAGGAGGCAGTCATCACAGCAGTGAGTCTTACTTCTGAACAGTGCTGCCCCCGTACAGAGCATTTCTGCATTCTCTCCTTTGGTCCTCACTACGATCCTGCTTTCATTTAAACTATGAGAACTTTAAAGCTCAAAAGAATTTTAAGGTAGGCTCGAGCTACTCCAAGGAAAACAAAGCTGTAAGAACTCGGGTCTTCCATGTCCAAGGGCAATGCTGCTTCCATAGCAGCAGGATGGAGGGGAGCCGACGCAGAGAGGAGATACTGACGCAGAGGACGAATCAGGAACAATGTGCACTGATGGGTCAGGGCACAGAGCCGGCTCCAGGGTCAGCCTGCCCTGGAGATGAACCTTGTCCCCCCTACTCACAGTCCAAGTGACCCTCTGCAAGTTACCCACTCCCGGTCTCTGGACCCCAGAGACACTCATTCCAGGGGCAGGACGTTAGAGGAATAACAGTTCTCCAAGGGTTTTTATAATGAGATGATACTTTGCAGATAGCTGGGTGTGACCCTAATACCTCACCTCTGCTGGCTTCTAAATGCTGAGCTTAACAGTTCAGCATAACTCAGGGATTAGCGTCTCATTTTAGAGGCCACAGCCTGCCAAACTGAGCGGTTACAAAGTAATGGGATCTGCCGGGCTTCCTTGCAGTAGTTGGCATTTTCTGTTCTGTCTAGTTAGCTTTGCAACAGCAAATGGGGATAGTCCCTGGGGATTTCTGACAGATGGACAGATGCACAGTAAATGAACGCCTGTATATTATAGAGTCTGATACCTTGCAAGGGGGAGAGAAGTATGAACTACAGCAAAATGAAAATTGTGTCTCTCTAGCTCAGCAGGAGAAAAAGTCACTTGATTCTTTAGGTTGGTTCCCCTCTACTTTATCATCTAGACTTAAGACAGGATGAAATTCCTTTCACCCTTTGCTTTGGAGACATCTACTGCAAAACAGAAGCTGTAACTCCCAACATCAGTTCCTAGTGCTGGTGGAGAAATAAAATCACCTAGCAGTAACGACCGCCACCTTGTGGTCACACATGAAACTACCGCTAGGGAAAAGAGCCCACCAGTGCTTAAGGCCCGCTGAACACTGAGGAAATTCCATGTGGCCACCAATAATTTGTTATATTGTATAATTTATACTTTTCTAGAAAATTCTGCACTGTTTATGATATTTTCATTGGGCTCTCAATCTGTCCCAGGTTTATTCTTGTTCTACTCTGCCATAACACAATCTGTGTTGAGACCTCAGTCTGTTTCATGGAAGCACGGGGATTTCCTTTTGCAATATGGAGTTGTATGAGACACTTCCTTATTTGTTCATTAGATATCTTGAAACAACAGCCACTGCACGACCAGACTAAATTCACTAATGGCCTGTCAACTGTCTGATTCAAAGGCCAGTAAAAATCATCTAACTTAATGTCATAGAAAACTATCCACTCTTTGGCTCAGACCCTGGACAGATGATTTGAGGGTAACCGTGTCCGATTCATGGTATGAGCCGGAGGCTCAAACTGGAAAATGTCGGCAGACAACTGGTAATCAACAAATGGTACCATCCTTCCTGACAAGAGTGTTTTCAAGCCTGAGCTGTCACCCTATTCCCTTCCGAGGTAACAGCTGGATGAGAGAGATGAGGACAGGGAGAGATGAGGACAGGGAAGGGCTTTTTGTAGGCAAAGCACAGAGCACAGGAAATCGAATTTCGAGGATTCTCCAGGAAGTAGGAGGAGGAGCACAAGGAAAGCTCCAGAGGAGCCCTGGTCCTCAGAGATGGGCAGCCCAGAATCAGACAAGGCAGCAGGGGCCGGCTGTGTGGGCTCCAGGGCCTTTGGAATGAACCAAAGACCAGGAGGTGAGGAGGGTGTGGCTCCCTGGAGTCCAGAGTACAGGGGAAGAAGGAAGCAGTACAGGGGCAGCTGGGACCTGTGTAGCTATTGGCTGATGCCCCAGCTCCTTCTAATATGCTCGGACGGCATGGGAGAGGGTGCCTCCAGTACACCCTCACCTCTCCCAGCTCCCAGCCTTCCCCAGCCCACCCCTTCTCCAGGTCACACGTGGTCCTTAACAGCACAGATTTGAACACAGGTGACGCTCAAATATCTGTGAACGCTCAGCCTCGCTCAGTCAGAGGAATGCCAATGAGAAGGCTGAAGAAACCATTTGTTTCAAACTCTCCGGTCATCAACATAATAGACTGCATGGCAGGATGGGATGGTGGAGGCAAGAGGCCTCCCACAGCTGGGAGAGAAGAGTCTGGGCTTTGCAGGCAGACCACCTGGGGCCCAAACCTCTGTCTCTTAGAAGTTAAACGTCTTTAGGCCTCAGTCTCCTTATCTGGAAAATGAGAGCGGTGCTAACCTTACTTCACAGGGCCACTCAAAGGATTTAATGAGACAATGCTCATAGACACTTAGAACAGTGCCTGGTATATAGGTGACAAAATGCTAGCCACCTTTCACTGCTATGGGGAAGGAGGCTGATGGGACTCAGTCCCAATTTTCAATGTACACACCACTGGCCAAGTGATACCACTTCTAGTTGTGTGTCTTAGACAAATAATAGAACAGTATGTAAAGACGAAAATACAAGGGGGCTTAATGCAACATTGATTGGAAGAAAAGACTAGGTACAACCTATAGGAAACAAGTTAAATAAATTGTGTCAGGGTCTTTTTAAATATTTAAAAATTTAAATTTAAAAATTTAAAAATGCAGCAGCTAGATATGTACAAATATGACACAATCTCCAAGATCTATTGTTACATTAAAAGACTAAGGTATACATTACATTAAAAGACAAAGTATGCTACCATTTGTGTTTAAATAAAAATAAAATAAATGCACAGATGTGTTGTAGCTGTACGCTTTCATGTGCAAAAAGCTCTTTGAAAGGCAACACGTGCAATTAGTAAAAACTGTTTCTTTCAGAGAAAGGATATGGATATTTGGAGGGTGCTCCTATTACCCACTGCAGAAAGTTAGCTTTTTTAATAGTTAAAAAATACAATCTGATATGTCATTCCTCTGCTTAAATCTCTTCCTTTTGCTCTTAGGTCTAAACTCTAAGGTCCTTAACAGAGCTTACGAGGCCCTTCCCAGCCGGGCCCAGGTCACCTCTGCCCCAGCCGTTCTCTCCATGTACCCCGCAGAGGCCCCACACTTGAAGTGCACTAAGTAGTGTTCACACTTCTCGCTCTCACTAACCACTACACCTGTGCAGGTGCCGTTCCCTAGATGGTGTGTTCACCTCCATTCTCTCTGTCTCATCATTCTAATTTGCCCTTCTGGTCTGAGCTCAGCTGTCGCCTTCCCTAGAAAGGCACTGTAGGATCCCTGGTACAGCAGGGATGTCCCTATTCTGCCCCCACCACACCTTCCATGGCCCAGACGGTAGCAGAGACAAGGAGCACGTCCCAGGTTCCCTTTCCCAAAATGCCTTTTGACTGGAAGAAGGTTCTGAAATATCTGCAGCAGACCTCTGGGGACCTTCTCGGGAGCCATCTTTCCTCTTTGTTGAGGGCAGAAGCCAACTTCTAAGCCCAATGCTAAGGAAAGAACAGAATGCCCTGCCCCAAGAGATGAGTCAAGGGTGGTGGGACCAAGTCAGGATAAACCTACTTATCTTGCCTGGATACTTGCACTTCCCACATCCTTTGTAGCTAAGGATAAGCGGGTGACTCAAGTCTAGAAAGATTTCTTCTCTCTTTCATAAAAGGAGAGAGGCCCACAAGGCCCTTGGGCTTCTGTCCTTGTGCTTCCTCCTTCGGATGCCATCACACCAGGTGTGATGTTGAGGACTGTGACAAATTACTTGAGACCCCATGGGGAAGAGATGCCCCATGTCACCGAACTACTAACCCAACCCTAACACTGTCACTGCCAGACTTCAAAGAAAAAGGGTTGTACTAATGAACTATAAACTCATCCTTTCATCACACAAAGGACTCAGTGGGGTATTCTGTAAACTGCGGCCAAAAGGATTCCTCACTGAGCACCGTGATCAAGTAGACAGACTTGAATCCCAGGATCAGTTCCCAGAAATCAAACAAAGGGTCCATGATGGAGGCAAGGGGCAATGTGTTGAGCCGTGACAAATTAAGTTTCTCTCTCTGAACCTACCCCGATCTGAACTTTTGTGACAAGGTCATAACTAGCTCAGCATTTAGGGGTAGAGCCAAGGTCAAAGTCACCAGGATAAGCAGCCCATGACATTTACTCTGTTCTTAGATTTCCATAACTCTGCTACAGAAGACTTATGTTCGAAGACCTTTTCAACCTTCAAGATGATCCTTCTCTAGGACACCATGACAGTAAGCAGTTACTTCATGGATTTCAACTTTCTCCCAGAGGCCATCAGAAGTTACTGGTACCTCCATTCAGCCCTACAATGAGAGTTCATCCCTCAAAAGTCTGATGCACTTCTTTACGAAATCTTTAACATCTTATTGTCTCATTGCTTTAAGAAAGGAGGCTACTGAGGTGGTGAATGTGAGTCCTACTTACAGGGGTTTGAAAGCAGCAGAACAACTGTGTGAGGAAGGGGTGATTGCGAGCCAAGGACAGGATCCTTTTTTCTGTCATTGTGCATTCCACGTCGTCATCCTGCAAGATCACATCCTTCTTCAGCACCTTCACAGCATAGAGATCTCCTGTTTCTTTTATTCTTGCAAGCATCACCTGTGGCAAAGCAGGAAAAGGGAGCACAGGTGTGAGAAGTCTTGAGATCCTTAGGATGTGGGAACACATGGGGCAGAACGGGCCTGGCAGTTGGCAAGTCTGAGCATGAATACGTTACACACACACTCAAACAACATACGTGTAGCATGCTAACTTTAACCCAGATGCCTCAGAAGCCAAGACTCACCTTCCCGAAACTCCCCTTCCCCAACACGCGGATGAACTCAAAGTTGTCGATACCAAGTCGGCTGGAAGAATTAACCCCGATTCCATTTCCTTCTTTGGTGTTTTCCCTGCCCTGTCGTCTTAGAGTTGACCTGGAAACGAGCTTCTGCAAAGGAGAGTAGAAAAGCAGGGAGTCAGAGGTCGCAGCATGGACTCGAAGCAGTTATGGATGGAGAAGACCTTATCTGCTGCCTTAACTCTCAACACAGCAGATGGGGAAAGGTCCATTCAGCTTGACATGGGATCAAGTTCTGCCATTCAACACTACCTTAGTTCCAGCTCCTGGTCTGTGCTTACTATATTTTGGAAAGAATCATTTTAAAATATATCTGAGCCATCGAGAGTTTCAGTTTGAACTCAGACAGCAGTGTATAAAACAAACGCCTTAGTCTGGTCCCTCCAGTGGCTTGGTGGTTTTCCCCAGGATGGTCAGATTCAAGAGCGCCACCTGGTGTCCATGTCATTCAAAGAGCGGTTTTCACGTTTGCTCAAAGGATCTATACTAGGATGTGAAGGAACGAAGCAATATTCATTACACAGTATTTAAAATTATATAAGAGAAAAATTAATATAAAAACTAGAATAGTGAACAAATGTATGAAGGATGAAACGAAATACCTCTAATCAGCACCCCCCTCAAAAAATAAAAAATAAAAGCAATTACACATACACACGTTAACTACCTCTACACTTGATTAATTTTTAAAAATATAATAAAATTGTGATTTCATAATGGACATTTTTATTTAACACTCTGTAATGTGTATTTTCCATAACCTTCAAGAACATGAGTTTTCAGGGCTGTCCTGTATTCTGTTATATATCCCAATTTATTCATTGATTCCCCTGCTTATTGGAAACAGCTGATCTCCCATCTTTTGCCAGTTTCAATAACAGCATCATGAACATCCTTGCAGGCGAATCTTCAAAGCAGGGTGATTAACAGTCTAGGCTCTCAAGCAAGCCGCCTGGGTTCAAATCACAGCTCAGTAACCTAATCCTGTAACTTTGGGCAAGTTACCAACCCACCGTCTCTGGGCCTCAGTTTCTCCTAACAAAGAGGATGTTACAGCACCTGCCACACAAAATATTATGAGGAATGAAAGAAAGCACACAGAGCACTTCAATCGGTGCCTGGCAGGTTCAATACTCAGGAACTGAGCTGTAGTGATTATCATCATGATCACAAGCATCCTCTATTTTCTCATGATAACTTTCTGGAAATGCAATCTTCGGAGCCAAAAATGTTAATCTTCAAGACTCTTGATACACAGTCAACTGGCCCTCTGGAAAGGCTGATGACCAGCACAACCAGGGCTCCTTCCAGTCCCACCATACTGAACCAGAAATAGGGGTGGCCTCCCCCATGGATAACCCCGTCTCACTGGTCCAAGTCCAGCCACAGCGAGGGAGCTCCCTAAGGGCAAGAGGACTTGCAGAGGTCCACCTTGGGACATACAAGACAAGCTACCTTGTCTTTGGATCTAGACAATACATCTAAAGTCTAACGCTCTGAAGCTTTGCCCTAGTTAGCTGAGAAACCCCAGCTTATCTGGAACAACTTCTAAGTAAAGTTTTCAACAAACAACAACTGTGCAGTTGCTCAAAGCCATAAGGCTTTGACTTACTCAACCCAATAAAACAGTGATACAGATATAAAATGGATCATCTTTAAAAATCCCATTGTTTTTAGTAGTTTTTCCCCCCAGATCTCCGATCATAAATATTTCAAAGATAGAAAAACTTTACTAGCCTGAGTCTCACTTCCTCCACTTAAATACTTCCTCTGCTTGGGCTAGAAAACTCTAAGCCAGTATTTCTCAAAAAAAAATTTTAACCCATTCTTCTCTTTGGATAAACTTAAGAATTCTGTTTCATGTTGTGCTGTCCAATGACAGGTAATTTTGGCTTTTCCACTTTTAAATAGAACATTAAGGATCCTTGGTTCAAGTGACAAATGACAAGTGGCATTCCCCATTTTACAACTTGTGCCACACGGCCTATTTTATTCCCATGACATTTTAGGAGCACTGGTGCAGGCCGAAATCCTTAATCTGTGCCATTTGGGAACAGCCATCCCACACATTAGAAATCCCCCTCCTGGTGTTGGCAACCTGCCTATCTGTCCATGGTGTAGACATTACACTTTGCTGATTTCAGTTCAAGTCCCTAATCAACCAGTAATAAGGAAAATGGGGTGGTGAGTACAGACATTTTCTGAATAACCAAGAACTTGACAGTGATTGTGCTTCCCTTCCTAAGAACTCACAAGGATATTTAACAGGGAAGTCTAGAATTTTCCTAAACCGGATATGAGGCTACAGCTTTCACACACCACGACAGGGGCCATGACACTTTCCCAGCGCTCTGTAGTCTCCAGCCAGGAAGGCAGCAAGAGGACACAGGCCTGGGAAGTGGTCGAGGCTCTAAGGGTCAACAGCGAGTGGAGGTCACTCTGGGAGGCTGTGAGACAAAACATGCCCAAAGCAACAGACAACTCCACCCACTCCCAGGAGCCGAGAGGAAGGAACTCCTGTTTGTTGCTGAACTTGAGAGATAAATGCACAATCCACAAACAAAAGCTACAGAACGGGTGAGACTCCAGAGCTGGGGAGAATCTCAGAGATCGAGCTCAACCCCTTTGGAGAGAAGGAAGCTGAGGCCCGTAGCTGCCAGTCAACTCTCCTGCCTGGGCCCCAGCAAAGAGGGTAACCCAAGGCCCTGGACTCAGAGCTTCACCACACCACACTGACAGGAAGCTAATTAAAAAAAAAAAAAAAAATCCTCCTTCTACTTCCTGCTATATCTGCATGCTTGTGATTTCTTGTCCCATCATTGTATAAAGAACCTTTTTTGTGGGACAAAATGCTCTTTAAAAATACAATAAATCTGTTTATTGTGTTTGCTGAGATTAGGAACTTGGATCATGCCGCATGCGTTCATTCAGACTCACCACATCTGAACAACTTCTAAATTACAATACGTCGAAGAAAGCCAAGTCTCACCGAGGTTGGAGAAATATTTCCGGGCTGGAGGCCCATCCCGGCCAGGGTCTTGGCAAGTTCCACCGCGTTGACCCCGCAGTTCGGGGCCACATTCGCCTGGCATCGGATGTGGACATTCATCTTACAGACTGGAGGGGGGCGGGAAAAAGAAGGGAATCCAGGTTCAGCAAGGAGCCAAGTCAACATATGCTGCAAAAAAGAACTTTAAAAACCTGAAAGATTAGGCCGGGCGAATGATCCAAGCAGAACAATGCCATCCTCTCGTTAAACTGAACTTGCGCACAAAACAAACCCTGATGTTGCTCCCCTGCTGGTTTACGCAGCGGCAGAAAGCCTGGCATGCTGACGATAACACACTTCAGATGCACTTTTTTGACATTTACCTCGATCCTGTGTAAGAGTCATTGCCGATTTAATAGCAAGACTCAATACAGAAATCAAAACGTTCATCACCGTGACATTTCAGTCAATTAACTAACAAGGAATCATGGCAACTGACTTTATGCTTTTCCTTGGATCGCTCAGTAAAAGGTGGCAATCTCCATGCCACGTAGAGATGGCTGTTCAAACAGGAGGGGAATGGTGTTTCTGAGAGGAAAGCCTCCAAGTGAAGCTCGCTTTCTGAGTGCTCTTGTGGTCGGGGAGCCCTGGCGGCCCAGGGCACAACATCCTGTGAGCCTCTGGTTCTCAGGGCTTGCAGCCGGTGGGTCTATCTCATGGGGGAGCAAAGCGAGTTTTTTTTAAAGGTCAAAATAGACAGCAGTTGGAAAAGGAGAGGGGAGCAGGTATTCCTGGTACATAGGAAACAGATTTGGGCTGATGAAGGGACCCGAGGTTTCATCAGCAGGAAGCTCAGACGCAGTTTCCTCACGTGGGCCTTTCCTCACGTGGGCCCAGCGGATGGGAGGCAGAAGCGAAAGAGCGGGCAACAAATTCCCATATCTGGGGTGTCAACCCAGCTCTGGAAGCAAGCCCGGATCCAGGTTTGGGGGGTCTGAATGTGATTTAGGGTGCCCTCTTTAAGAGAAAGAATATCCAGTCCAGTGGAGAGCTGTGGAAGGGACCCTTGCAAAGGAGAGCCCCTGAGGCTGAAGCCTCAGTAGCTCTTCTGGGGAAATCCCCCGCTCTCAGGAAGGCGGCTGCGGTGCCCTTTCTAAGGTACCAGTGACAATAAAAGAGAAGAGTACAGGAGATGGCTCACTGTTTGTGCGCTACCCACCCACCCCCACCCCAGGCCACGAGGCCCAAGAACAAGGTGGTGGAGCCCCACGCATGGCTCTGCATGTCGGCAACGACCAGACAAGAACAGGAAGTGACTTTTGCTATGAAACCCACGCCCAGAGGAGACCATCCAGCTTAAGATCAGGCAGGGCCTGAACGAAAGCCATGCATGAGCTAGTCGCTGGTTGGCTTGAAAAAGAATTACTTCATGTATCTAGGAAAAAAATGAATTATGAAATGATGTTCTCAAGAGATGAAAGGCTTTGCAAGGGGCCAGTCCCCTTCTGTTGGCAGAAGCAGGCTCAGTAAGTGCAGGCAGCCAACGGACACTGTCCAGCTGCACTGACATCAACTTGGCCTCCCCCAGCGACTGAGGATTTATCTAAAGCTTCAGGCCGAAATCCGCCTGTATTCCTGCAGGGGGCTGCACCCCATGACAGCTGGATTGTTACAGCAATACCTAAGAGAAAATGACTCAACAGCTCCCCAACTCCTAACAGGACGGGAATCACCCCTCGCTCTCAGAATCTTGGCGAAGGCAAAAGCTCCACTGGGCACAGTTAGTGGCGTGCAAGTCCACGGCCAAAGCCGAAACATCCTTCACCCCACCTACCTCTCCAATCTCTATCAGTCTCTTCGAGGAGACCGAGGGCAGCTCTCACTGGGCTTTGACTCAAGTCCTGCTCCTTTCTGGGGAGGTCACTAGACCTACTCTCTTGCCAGTTCTCACTCATAACTGAAGTCTCTCTTTTGGTCACCTCACCTCCTACCACCTTCCATTTCGGACCAAGATCCCATTTTTCCCTCTTTCAAATACCCATGCCAATACAACTAGCAGGCCCTCAGCACGAAGCAGCTGAGAGCCAGCTAGACAGAACACTGAATTTAACAACTGACTGGAGCTACAGCTGGGAAGTCTTTGGACCAGAGGTGACTCCCCGTACATGGCTGACAAGGAATATATAGGCCTAGAACTACGAAGACCTAATTCACAAAGTGTCTAAAACCATTGGTGCCAGCTCAGAAGCCGCGCCGGCAGAATTCTGAGAGCTCGCGGCGCGGTGCTCCCATGAAGCGGGCACCCAGCACCCGGCATCTCACTTTTACACTGCAGTCCTTGTCGCATGATCCCCCAGAGCAGCGAGCCGCAGTGATCGCAGAAGGTTGGCACTTTGTAGTTGTGGATGCTGAACTTGTGCGGGATGTTGATTCCGAACCTCTGTTCAGCAATCTACAAAAAAAGAAGCAGAAGGACGAGAGCTAGGAGGCCGGGCCAACATCTTTGACAGAAACCGTAACAGGAGCTCCCCAAACGCAATGTGTTACCATGACACCTGAGCTGGGGAGATTACTGCATTGTGCTCTGGCCTTCCTCACCAGGCTGAGCCCATTTTCTCATCAACAAGACTCAAAAGAAAGGGCGTAGTGGTGGGCATTAGATCATTCACCATTTGGGGAGATAAGGAGGAATGAAAACCTTTTTTTTGATCACCTTTCATGTTCAGGCTGGATTTCTCTCCCTGCCAACTCCCTCGTGCCCATGTCTAGTTTCTAAACCCTTCTAACTGCAGGAGTAAACAGGTCTCTTACTGACCTTACACTCGCTGTTACCACAGGATTTCCCAGATAGTGTGCTGGGTGGGGGCCAAGGGAAGAAGGTGGCACCCAGCGAGTACAGAACCACAGAAGGAATTCACCCCAAAGCGACATCCTAGAAGCTTACTCGGCCCTCCCCAGCTGTGCCTGCCATTTGCATTTTGCAATCTGAGGGCACAGGTCCTGCTTTCATCTCACAAACTCTTCCAGCAAATAATTAGACAAGGCATACGCACTACAGTTACGTCACCATTTGAAATGACAATGAGACAAGGAGTAGGGCAATTATGACTCCTCTTGGAACTTTGCTGGTCTCTTTCTCATAAAAGCTGTGGCTCGTACTTCTCCAAGGGAACTTTAGCAACCCTGTATGTGTCCTGTAAGCAATCCCTGAGCTCAAAGTCAGACTCCGATGCGTCTGTAAACCCACTGCTCATTGTCAGCAATGCTCCAACTGCTTTCTGTCGCCACAGTTTAGAACGTGCCCTCCCCAGCTGAATGCAATGCGAGCGACGAGAATGAGATTCAAGCATTTATATATGGAAGTGCATCCTCCTGGAGATTTTGGAAGACACCAGAGGAGGCTAAGAGTCGCCTTATTGAGGAAGCACAATTTCCAGTTAACAAATATTTGTCACATCAATTCTATCGTGTGGAAGCCTCACCAAAAAAGCGCATGAAGGAAATACGGATCCCATTCTAAGACTGAGGCTGACAGAGAAGCTAGCTAGCGGAGGCTGGATTTGCATCCGAATCCTGGTGGTGTGAGGCCAAACTCAGGAACCTTTTCAGTCCTCTAAACCCCTCTCCAAATCAGAAACACTAATCGTGAAAGTTTGTAACCAGCTGATCACTTATGGGATCCACCCACGGAGACGTCATGCTACACAAGCACAAAAGTAAAAAAAAGCATAATATAAAAAGGAGAGAAAATTCTATTCTGATGCCACCATTCACTTCAAGGAGTGCAGAAGGGAAGTGGAAAGGGGATGGAGCAAGGAGAGAGAGCGGGCTCGTGCCGCCACTTAGTTAGCAAAGTTCTATCTTCTTACCTTTGAATCCATTTTGTTAATGTTGTTCTGGCAAGTGCAGGCTGTAACAATTAGATGATGGCAGCGTTTATGGACAACACAGGTGCACACTAGGGAATGAAATGCATGATTATACATTCCTCAGAGGCTCACGATCTGCCAGTTCTAGTAGAGTCAACAAGGGCCACACCATGTCAAAGTGACTTGATTTGGTGTCTGGCCCACTCGATGGCATCCAGCCTTCCCGTCCTTCCCACGGTCATTACCGTCCCCCTAACTCACGCCTTTGCTCACACCCAAACTATCTGCACTCAAGTCTTGAGCCTACTTCATCTTTCCTGGCTTTCCTCCTGCCCACACCCACGGCCACAGGAATCCTCTCATGGTATAATTCTGGTCACCGTGCCTCACGATCTAAACCTTCAATGGCATCTCATTGCCAATAAGTCGAGTTCAAATTTCCCAGCCAGGTTTCAGGCCCTCCAGAAGCTACCCCTAAGCTTACCTGTTACCTTTCTTTGTTCTAATAAAAACTAGACTGGTTGCTCTTCCTAGAGCAAGACTTCGCCCTCCCCTGCCCGCCCTGCATTCTCCACGCAGGTTAAGAGACAACATTGTGTCATTTCTCACCCCTAGTAACAATGGGGTTGGGAAAAACAAAAATTTAGCTTCAAGATTTAAGGGTATTGCTCACAAAATGGCACTACCTTTCAGTATTTTCACGTCATCTCAGAGACAAAACTTTAAACAATTCAACATTATTAGGTATCTCGGCTTTAGAAATAAAAGTGTGCCCTCTGTGCTAAAATGTAGCCAAAATTTAAAACATAACCAAATACTTGCAATGGGAGTGTCCCTTGATCGGCAGAGTAATCTATTACAATATTAATGAAATGTATCCTGTCTCCTCTAAATATAACCAGTCTTTAACATAAGAACAACATTAAATACCTTTTTTGAAATGTTTTCTTACCTTGACATTGATAACCTTGTTTCCCAAATACTCCCCTGTTCAAGACAATAGAGAAAAGCTATCATCAGTCTACTTCAGCAACAACGCCCCTATGATCATAGTACTTCAGGAAAACAAATGCATGCCATCCTCTGCTCCTTCCTGAGAAACATAATTTCAGAGAAGCAGCAAAGATGAGGTGATTTCTGAGCCCTTGTTACCACGAGACCTAGAGGATGTCCTGTGATGACCTGAATCCTCTAGCAATGTACACAGGTGGGTGTTGGTGGTCCTCATTCTGCCCACCTCCCCCTGTGGCAAAGCCCAAGTCCTCAGCTGGTCGTGTGACAAAGCCTCGGCCACAAGGGACACTCCAGCGCCTTTTCTCACTCGCACACACATAAAGATGGGCAGGCCGTGAAGTAAACAGGTGAGCCCACCACAGCTGCCTGGCCTGAGGCACCCTCCCTCTTCCCTGTGCCCCCGTAACCCCTGGAGTCCGGGGGTGGGGACAGAAATGCTGCCACAGGATGCCTGTCAGGCCCACGGCTATCATACTGGCCTCTCCCCAGTATATTCTCTGGGCGATGATGATATCATCCTCATTCTCATTTAACACAGACCACATTTTATTAAACCTGGAGGATGTGCCAGGCACTGAGCCAAGCTACTGATGGGCAGCATCTCACTTAATCCTCACAAAAGTCCTGCGAGGTAGCACGCATCATGGGAAGGCTCAGAGCACAGACCCTGAAACCAGATGGCCCGGGCATGACTGGGGGCACATCGCTAACTCCCTTGAGCCACGGTTTCTTCATCTACAGAGGGCAACAATGACCGCAGTTCCTACTTCACAGGGTCTTCATTAAGGTAAAGAGAGGTGGTAATGTAAAATGCTTAGAATAGTGCCTAAAACATTATGTTCCACATAAGTTTATGAGATAAGCAAAATAAAATGGTCTTTATTTTACAAATAAGGAGACACTGATGGATTATATAATTTATTTAGGTTTACACAGCTAGTTGGTGATGAGATTGAATGCCAGAGTCCATACTCTTAACCATATATATGTAGCACATACAGTAATACTCTGTGAGAGACAGAGAGAGAGAGAGCACGCAAGCGAAGGCTGGTTGAGTGGGAGTTAATGTTTCCTTGGTGGAAAAAATTTAGTGAAGTATCAAACAAGTTTCCATTGAGAACGTTAGCTGAGGTCACAGTTGGTCACCACAAATGCCCACAGGGGCAGGCAGGTCACATAAAGGAGGGAAGCAGAACGGTGTGACATGAAATAAAGACGAGCAGACCTTTCAGATCAGGAAAACCACAAGGAGAGTGGTGGACACCAACTAACTAGCCAGTGCAGATGACCATAGGAGTAGAAAATGAGCTCAAAGATGCCAGAGTTTTTCATTTTGTTCAATAGACAATGCACCAGGAACTTGTTTGTAAAGACCATAGTTGTGATGACACATCTGTCAGCAACACACCAACACTCAGTTGTGGGTCCTTGGTTTAGACAAGGCGCTATTCTTTTTTTTTTTTTTTAAATTAACATATAATGTATTATTTGCCCCAGGGGTGCAGATCTGTGACTCATCAGGCTTACACATTTCACAGCACTCACCATAGCCATACCCTTCCCAAAGTCCTTAACCCAGCCACGCGATCCCTACCCCCCCACCCCCCAGGAACCCTCAGTTTGCTTGTGATTAAGAGTGTCTTATGGTTTGTCTCCCTCCTGATCCCATCTTGGGACAAGGCTCTATTCTTAATTTAAAACACCAAAAACACTAACCCTGGATCCTGACTGCTAAAAGGTAGCAGGGACTTTTAAACCAAAGTAATCAAACATATACACACACAAAAACAAAAATGAAAAAATGCAAACTCACTGATCAGTACTTGAAAAAATTACTCTGAGCCAAGTGCTTTTGACTTAAACAAAACGAGTATGGTTTGCAACACAACCAGGATTTCCCTTTATGCTATGGATACTAAACTGTCTTTTTCTCCTACAGAGATGGGTATGTATGTGTACATGTTTGGAGGTGGGCGAGGGGGCATTTCCTTCTCTTTCCAAATACATGTGTTTAAAGTTGGCTCTAAACACAGGTAACTATTAACTTCAATTTATTTTACATTATAGATTTGCCACTGAAATTTCAGCTTCGGTGGCGCATATAGGGAGCTATTGCCCCAATTCACCTAGAATTTCTGGGCTGTAAATTATCTCAGTTCCTAAATGCCAAGGATTATAGTATGCAATCACTGAAAGTCATTACCTTTTGGCCACATACCATTAGGCTGAAGATTACTGTGTGTTTACTTTACTTACAACCAACTAAGTTCTATGACTTACCATGTGAGTCCTACTTTTTTAAAGCAATATGGTTGTCATTTCTCTCTTACTCAGTGGCCAATTATCCAATTTATTGATTATCCATATATTGATAGGTTAGCCTTCCTAATTCATGCTCTTTAGCCAGTTCATGACTCATTAGCATTTTCCCCAATTAACTGGAAAAAGAAATAACATCTAAACCTTGGATCTGTAAATTGTTTAGATTTTTTTTTTCACTGGGAATTCAAATTACTGGGCCAACATATTGGAATAAAAGGCAAAAATCAGATCCTGAAACAACTCTCGAGAATCACACTTCCTTCTGAAACCACACACAACCTAGAGAGAAGCTTGGAGGAAAAAGAAGCCAGGGAACCTCTTACCAGATAAACTCCCTGCAGTGAGAGCAGTAGGTGGGCTGTCTCAGGTACGTGGCCATGAACTTGTGTCCATTGATCTGGTGGACTCGCCTTCGCATAGCCCTTTGGCGCTTCCTGGTGAAATGTTTGAAGATTCGGTCTCTCTGCAGAGTGGCTGTACAATAAAAGCAAGGAAAAAAGTATGCTCAATGAAACTAGCTGTATCTAATGTAAGAGAAAGTCTAACAGCTCAAATACTCTCTAAATTGTTTCTTCTTTCTTCAAGATGCAAAACACCCCCAGAACATCACCATGCTTGCCAGTGACCTCAGGGCTCTTCGTGTCTAAGGGCTGGACCTAAGTGAACTCTGAGATCCCCACTGCCCGATCATAGCTGGCTCTCCAGCACAGACCATGGATCCCCCAGGGTTCTAATGTTCCAGTATGGGACATCAGCCTGGCTTTCTAGCTCCTGTCCCACAGTGTGGGACCTCAGGGCCATCGCTGGCTAGAACTACTAGAAGTGAAGCAGATTTCTCATTATTCGCCTTTTGTTCTGCCATCCTCACAAACAGAAGGAGGAAAGACCGCAGCACAATAACACTGCCCAAAAGCAACAGTCCAAACACCATCCCTGGAATGGGTAGAAATTAACTGGGACATAATACAAAGTTCCTTTTCCACATCCACATTTTTAAAAATCATGACTCTTAGTCTGAAGAATCAAAACTGGGCACTATCTAAAGACAGCAAATTATGTCTTCCAGATAAATTATACTAGAACTTTCCCAAGGTATACAGTGACTTATGATTAATACAATAAAGATTACTCCTTCAACAATGTTTTGCAATTAATCACTTCAATGCAAAGAAAATTCAAGAAATACTGCAAGAATAATCTGCTAAGAAATTTTAAAAACCTGGAAGAAATTGAAGATATCCATGAAAACGCAAATGACCAAAATTAAAGCGCTATATACACCAAATAGACAATCTTTTTAGAAATAAATTAGTAAGATTTTCTTAGGACTGCCTCTCAAAAATCACCCATGCCGACATGGTTTCATGGGTGAATTATTTTTAGCCTCTAAAAACAAGATGATATTAATGTTTAAACCTGCTGCAGAAAAGAAGAGAAAAGAAAGTGCCCCATTTTTTTTAAAGGGAACTATGTGATACAATCCTAGGACTAAAAGACAGAACAGATTTATCCAAAGATATATCAGAAAAAAGAAACCAGGGGTTTGTGATCATTTTTCATGTCATGGACTCCTTAGTCTAGTGAAATTTATGGATCCCTTCTTAGAGTAAATCTTTTAATCTTATATGTATGTGTGTGTGTGTGTGTGTGTGTGTGTGTGTATGATTACAAAGGAAATCAAGTATCAAAATATTAAATTTAAAGTGAGAAATACATATGTATTTTTAAGAAATTACTTAGTGTTATACCTGATCACTCTAATAATTTTGAAGTCATGATTAGCAGCAGTTACATTTAATAGTAGTGAAGTAGGAGTTGCATTTTAAAATAACCATTAAAAAATTTTTAAAAATCTGTAAAATCTATAATACAGTATGAAAACACCCAGGATTTCTATGGTGACAACAAACATAATTACCGCTAATACTGCCGTGGGTTAGTTAACAATGGAAGAAAATGCTACATCTGCGTTACAGCTTAGTGAAAATATTTTCTTTCATCAAATTTCTGGACCACCTAACTTCTAATTATGGACTTCAGGACAAGTACCCCTCTGCTTCCATATCCAGCTCACTCATGAATACTGATGCAGGGATTTTCCTTATTGAAGTTCGTATACTTACAAAGCGAATAGGAAAGCAATATTAGAAAACATCAGTGGTTGTCAGGTTATGGGGTCTTTGCTCTCCCGTTCTTTTACAATTCATCCCCAACACAAATAATCCTTCCCACTTAATAAGTGTCTACTCTTGCCCACTACATTGACTTCTTGGCTTCTTGAATGTGGTGTTATGGATGGGGAACATCTTAATAAGTAATAAAAACTAACTGCAAAGCAAAATTGAAAATCTTGTAAAAGTTGAAGAATTTCATGCAGTCTATGGAAAGTGATGTTTGTGAATGGCAAGAGTCAAACCTTAAGGCAATGGTAGATAAGACTCTAGTAGAGTTAGATCTGTTCATAGGTGAATAGAAGAAGTTTGATATAGAAAACAACATGATGGTCATTTTAAGAGACAATCACTTGAATAGTAACATACTGGGAGAGGCCCTTGAGAAACTGAGGAAGTCTCAAACTGTTGCGAAATATAGCCTATTTAAAACTGCACTATAATAATAAAAAATAAAATGTGTAGTATTCTGCCATAGAATTTCATCTGAAAAGTTACTATATTCTAAAAATTAGTGCCTGTGATAAATCAACAAAATGCATTCAGTAAAGTTTTTCATAATTTTAGCTTTGTCAAACTCCTTCTCCCACTTTTGAACAGTAACAAAATTTAGTCCTCATTTTGAATAATTCATTTAATGTGAATTTTTCTCAGTAGTAATGACACTCAGATAACCAGGAAATTCTATACTACTCAGCATTACTTTTTTTTTTTTTTTTTAAAGCTGGGGCAGGGAGGGACAGAAGGAGAGGGAGAGAAAATCCTAAGCAGGCTCCACACCCAGAACGGAACCAGATGCAGGGCTCAATCTCATAACCCTGAGATCAGGACCTAAGCCAAAATCCAGTGAGATGCTTACCCGACTGAGCCGCCCAGGTAACCTGACACTATTCAGCATTATCTTAAAAGAAAAACCCACTCTGAGCAAGGGGCAATTTTCCCAGGAGCACAACAATGAGTGCATTATGAGAAAACCTATTATATTTTATTCTACTAACAGGTAAAAGAAAGTAAATATGATCACTTCAATATATGTTTAAAAGGCATTAGATAAAGTTTAACTTGTAATCCAATAAAAAACTTTTTGGAAAGAGTAGACGATTGTCTCCTTAACATGACTAAAACATTATGCTCACAGGTCAAAAAATAAATGGTAAATAAATTTTAAAAAATCCCATAAGAGTTAAAAACAAATAAGACCAATTATCAATTGCTTACTATTATTCTGAAAGTACTTGCCAAAGCTTTTAGAGATGAAAAGAAAATAAAAGATAAAGCTATGGAGTGGGGGGAGAAGGAGGCAATGATGCCATGATTTGGAGATGTTTAATACATGACTAGAAAACTCAGGAGAAGTTAGCCCAATCTACTAAAACAGAGTTCAGTAAGATGGACAATGGTAAATCATTAAAAGTTAACAGATCTTTAATATATCAAAAGAACCATTTAGAATATATAACAAAAACATAACCCCATTCATAAAGCTACAAAACCCAAACTAGGAATAATTTATCAGAGGAAGGTTAAGACTTATATGAAGAAAACTATAAACCCCAACTGAAGAAGATGAAAAGATATGTAAAAACGAACTTCCTAAATAGAAAGACTTAATAGTATTAAGCTGTCAATTCTTTCTAAACTAAATTCAACAAAATCCCAATAAACATCCCCAAAGGAAGTCTTTAAATTTGACAACTTTTTAAAAGTTAATTTGGCATATTGGGCACCTGGGTGTCTCAGTGGTTTAAGCCTCTGCCATTGGCTCAGGTCATGATCTCAGAGTCCTTGGATCAAGGCCCACATCGGGTTCTCTGCTCAGCAGGGAGCCTGCTTCCCCTCTCTGTGTCTGTCTCCCTACTTGTGACCTCTCTCTCTGTCAAATACATAAATAAAATCTTTTTTAAAAAAAGTTAATTTGGCATATAATTAAAAATAAATACTTAAAAACTGTCCAAAAATTCTACTGAAGGAAGGAAGACTTGTTCTACACAATAAAACATTAAGTTACAGTGACTAAAACAGCATGCTACCAACTCAAGAAGAATCCAAAACCAGAAATCAATTTTGCTTAGAACATAGCTCAAATAAGTGGTAAATGATAGATTATTAATAAACAGTGTTTAGACAATAGTTAGCCTTTTAGAAAATAACTTTACCTCATTCCTGACACCAAAATAATCTCAGGTAAATGTTAAGGAGGAAGTTATGAAAAAATATATACTCCTAGGATGGGATAAGAGTAACAACACTCTTAAGCCATAAGAGACTCAGATTTGTAATTTAAGAACTTTAAAGTTCTATTTGGTAAAAGACACAAAACAGAAAGCTGAACAAAACAAACTGGGAGAAAAAGGACTTGCAACACATGACAAAGGGTTACTATTTATAATATGTAGAAATTAATAATAAAAAGGGATGAACAGTCTAGTAAAAATGGGACAGAGGAGGCAAAGAGGCAATTTATAAAACTATAAATGCAGACAGACAATAAACACACCAGATGTCCGATCCTATCCTAGATGGGCATGTAAGAAACAGGAGGTCAAAGACATTTTACTTAAACTGGCAAATATTTATAAGGATTGCTAATGTGCCTATGCTTACAAGGGAATGGGGCACCTCTACTCTCTGCTGGTAGGAGTGTAACTGGGCTCCAGTCCTGGCTCTTCTGGCTGTGTTTACCACACAAGCCTCAGTGTTCCCATCCATAAACCGGGTAGTGCTGTCCTCATACCGTTTTTCCAGGGACCTTCCAAGGAGGTAATGCAATCAAAGTGTTCAGCATGGAGTTAGGCCCAGGGTAGCATGCAACACATGTAGGAATATTGTTTTTGGAGAAAGGTATCTGTCAAACACCTGTCAAAGTTGTAAATATACATTTCCTTTCATTCAGCAATTCAACGTCTATGATTGTTTTTTCCATAAAAACACGAGAAAGAATGTATGCCATAGAGATATCAATTACTATTTTCTATTTAACAGTAAAAACCAGGGTTTACATAAGAAATTTCAAGGAATGAAATGCAAAAATAGAGAAAATGAATTTGGTTAAGACACTGATGCTTTCAGAGGCTCTGGCATAGTTAAAATAGTACCTGCTTCATAGTGTGTGTGTGTGTGTGTGTGTGTGTGTGTGTGTGTGTAAAACTTTTGGCAAGCAGCCTAATTATTTTCATTCTCAGGTTTCCCATCTGTCTCAAGAAAATAACTATATTCCTGTCCTCAGCCCTATGGGTATCGTGTCATAATCAATACGGCCAAGTTTCTTAAAATTCTGGATAAGGATCACAGATGAACAGAAGT